TCCACCGGTATGACGCCGAACAGGCTGCATTACGGCTGTCTCTTATACACATCTAGATGTGTATAAGAGACAGATTTTTGACAGGGAGCGAAGGAAGGGGGGGGGGGGGAACGAGACGAAGAGGAGGGGGGGAGCACGTCGGGATCCCACTTCTTATGTGGAATCTTCTTTTTGGACTGTTGCGTCCGAAAGTGAAGAATGGTTGTAATTGGCCCCCAATAAAAAAAAAAAAAAAAAAAAAAAAAAAAAGCTGGTCCCCTTACAGATTCTTCGTATCTACGAAGACCGTTATTCGGGTTAGGTGGTCCTGTGATGGGACTTTTGGGACCATGTCTCTGGCATAGCGATAGCGGAGATTTTGTATTTTTTTTCCTTCCTATTTTTTATATTAATTCGAGTATTTAGTGTATTTGTTAATGTTAATTCCGAAAGTGTTTAAAAAAAAAAGATCTGAAAGTGAAGAATGATCGGTATAGCTGGGACTTGTCCCCTTAACAGGTTCTTCGTATCTGGCCGTTATTCCAAAAGTGGAGAATGGCTGTGTTGTGTTTGTCCGTCAGTTCATGTTGTTAGTGGATCGGAGCAAATGCCTGAATCTGGACGAGTTTATGGAGATGTGCAGGAAATCGAGATTGAACTGCTTTTCTGCATCTGTGCTTAAGACACATCCAGATTCAGGAGCTCGATCCTATCCATTTTGCCCATTTTGCTAGTGGAACCTCGGAGCAAATGCCTGAATCTGGACGAGTTTATGGAGATGTGCAGGAAATCGAGGTTGAACTGCTTTTCTGCATCTGTGCTTAAGACACATCCAGATTCAGGAGCTCGATCCTATCCCTGTCTCTTATACACATCTAGATGTGTATAAGAGACAGGTCTGAGACGGCCTTGAGGAGTGCTGGGGGGTGGTCCCACTAGCAAAGAGGATCGGATCGAATGCCTGAATCTGGACGAGTTTATGGAGATGTGCAGGAAATCGAGGTTGAACTGCTTTTCTGCATCTGTGCTTAAGGCACATCCAGATTCAGGAGCTCGATCCTATCCATTTTGCTAGTGGAACCTCGGCCCTGGATGCTTTTTCGGCAATCTCTTTTGGAAGTAATTATGCAGGTTCTTCGTATCTGGCCGTTATTAGGGTTAGGTGGTCCCATGATGGGACAGTTGTATCTCGGCTCTGGCATAGAAATAATGGAGATTTCGTTTCTTTTTTTTTCTTTTTTGATATTTGTGGTTTCATTTCTGTTGGTGAGTTGCAATTTCGTAGTAAAAAAATTACTGTTTTTTTTTTTTTAATTGATTAGATTACTTAGTAAATAGCTATGTCACCAGAGTGGCTCGGGTTCATTTGCCCGGCCGGGCGATAATGGGGAAAAAAAAGAAAAAGAAATCAAAATTGTTTTTAATTAAACATTTTAATGTAAATTTGGTAAAGAATTTCGATGTGACCCTGAGGCAAAAGTTGTTCAGTTTATTTCTCTGCATAACATAGTTTGTCTTCGGATTTTTTGGGTTTTTTTTTTCTTTCCTTTTGGCTGGGACCTTCCCTGCTCCTTGCACGGCCAGGCTGCACGGGAAAATAAGGTGACCCGGGCGTTTTACAGCTAAATTTATTTATTTGTACGGTTGGCACCTAAATTGATTTATTTTACGGTTGACACCTAAATTTATTTATTTTGTTTATTTGTACGGTTTACACCTAAATGTATTTATTTTGTTTATTTGTACGGTTTACGCCTAAATTTATTTATTTTGTTTATTTGTACGGTTTACACCTAAATTTATTTATTTTATTTATTTGTATGGTTTGCACCTAAATTTATTTCGTGTGGTTTAAATTTCTTCCTTTGTATGTGTTTGGTCTTGTTGAGTTTTCATGGCGCCTGATTTTTTTTAATTTTTTTTTAATGACACAAATGTATCTTTATGTTGGTAAATTCAGAAAGAGGGGAGGGGGGGGACTCCTCCGACAAATGCTAAGGTGCAGAAAAATCTACAGAAAAATAATAAATAAAACTATGGAAGGTAAAATTAAATTTGTGAAAACGGTTTAGTTTTAAAATAAATGAAACTATTTATATGACAAATTAAATTATTTAAGGTCGGACTGCGTATGGATACCGAGTGGAATTGAAGTGTTTTTGTATATATATATATTTACAAAAAAAAAACTCAACGCAACCCGAATAGATCAGTGATTGGAATAATGCCCATGCTTTCTATTTGGGTGAGGAGAGTTTTATTGTAATACCTTACGCGGCAGATGATGTTCATCGCTAGGCAATTATATCCATGCCCCCTTTTGTTCTTTTACGATTTTTTTTTAATTAAAAAAAAAACGTGCTTAAAAAAAAAACCAAAAAAAAACCGTGTTTTTTATTCGAGGCCAGAGTCTTATTATAATTGTAATAATGCCCATGCTTTCTATTCGGGGGAAGAGACTCTAGCTGTAGTAGTCCCTGACCTGTCTTTTCAGAGCAGAACAGTCGTTATGGCAATACTGCCCAGTGTTTTCTTTTTATCTTTCGTGTTTTTTTTTTTTTTTTTTTTAAATATAGATTTTATCGGGTTCCTTCTGGATCGAACTCACGCCTGTATATCAACATTTCAAGGCGAAAGAGATCCCGACCCAAGGGTATCTATTGAGCTAGGCCGGTTGCGGCTGTTTTTTTTTTTTTTTTTTTTTTTTTTCGCCCCGTTGCGGGTGTTGGTACTGCGCCCGATGGCCATGTTGTCTATTCAGGCGAAAGGGATCCCGACCCATGGGTCATGCGCTATTCAGGCGAAAGAGATCCCGACCCAGGGGTCATGGCGCTATTCAGGCGAAAGAGATCCCGACCCAGGGGTCGTAGCGAAATCGGTGCGGGGTTTATTTTGCTGTTACGGTTTTGTTAATCCTTTCACGTCGCTATCATGACCTTTGGGTTGGGATCCCTCCGATCATTACAGACCTTGTGTTGGAAGCTCAGACATCGGGATACCAGCCCCACTATCGTGATGAAGCAATGCTTAAGAGGAAAACCGGCTTCTGTTGTTCGTCTTCGTGGCTGAATTGCAGAACTGACTGAATCTTTTGGACGGACGTTGATAACGGAGGCGGAGCCAAAGTCCGGAGGAAAAAGGAATTCTCCACGACACACACACACACACACACACACACACACACACACAGAGAGAGAGAGAGGACGGTACCTACATCAAAATGAGAGCAATAAGAGAGTAAGGAGGGTATGCAAAGGTAGGGAACAGAGTTGTGAGAGAAAGGGAGAGGTGGACATTACAGGATAGCGGCTGAAGAAGGGGAGAGGGGGAGAGAGAGAGAGAGAGAGAGAGAGAGAGGTCGTAGACGTATCGAAATAGGGAGAGAGACAGAGTTCTAAACACGCACACACACACACGCACACACACAGAGAGAGAGAGAGAGAGAGAGAGAGAGATGGCGATGAATTTATTCCGCAAGCTGTCCCCCTTTTCGCCTTCATCAGAGCACACAGATGAGAAACAGTACTTGTTATCTGATCCCTCTATGCCCAGTCCGTCGAGACTTGGGGGAGGGGAACCAGGAGGGGCAGGGGATTGGTTGGACGGAGTGGTAGAGGGGGAGAAGAGCGAAGCTGCGGGACGCTATTCTCTAGGGCGTCTTTATGAAGAAGGGCAAGGGGTACCTGCAGATTTAGCGAAGGCGGCGAGATGTTACGCTGATGCCGCAGAGCTTGGCTATCCCGATGCGGATTATCGGCTTGGACTGCTCTATAAAGCCGGGAAAGGAGTGCTCCAGGATTTGCCGCTAGCCCTTGCATGCTTCAGAAAAGCGGTGAGTTAAAAAAAACTCGCAAACTTTGTTTATTCTCTCTCTCTCTCTCTCTCTCTCTCTCTCTCTCTCTCTCTCTCTCTTTTCTACATTTCTATGCCCTGCATGTTCTGATCTTCAGTGCTCTCTCTCTTTTCTCAGTGGATTTCTTCACCCCTTCTCTTAATTCCCTCTTCTTAGCGTCTTTCTTTCTCGCTGTCTTCTGTCCTTGTCTCCTTTGCGCTCCCGCTTCATTTACCCCTCCGTTTCGGTCCCTGATAACATCGAGACCCATCGGGGTGTGCTGACTATCCTGTGTTGAGGGCTATGGTTGTCTGGACACGTGGTTCTCCGGGCACGTGTCCACAGTGCGTATGTGTGGAGGCTATGGTGGTCTGAACACCATAGCCTTCCGCACATACGCACTGTTCAGACCACCATAGCCTTCCGCACATACGCACTGTGGACACGTGTCCTGAGAACCACGTGTCCAGACAAGAGCTCTTTTTCATCTGTTCCCGTGTCGAGTGTGTTTGATTAGTCGTTATCCTTCTCAACGGTGCACGGGGCTCGGCTTGTCGTGTTCATGCACCTGGCCGAGTCAGCATTGAGACGAGTGCACCTGGCCGCATCCATGGTCAGGATGCAAACGGTCCTGGGGTATGGTTTCTTCTTGCATCTGGCCGACTCAGCAATGAGTTAGCATACTCGAGAGTCAAGAGCTCACATGGCCACATTTTTCGTTAGGATGCAATTATCGTGAAAACGACCCTTATGTTTGTTATCTTCGCACAACTAGCCGACTCAGCATCGGCAAGAGTGCACCTGGCTGCATGCGTCGTTAAGATGCAATCGACCATTTTAGAGTGCACATGGGCACATTTGTCATTAAGATGCAAACGACTCTTCCGTTCGTTATCTTCGTGCAACTGACCAACTCAGCATTTGCAAGAATGCACCTGGCCGCATGCATCGTGAAGATACATTCGACACTATCTGACCACATTCATCTCTCTTCTTCTCCCTTCCTCCTCGCTCGTTCGTCATCTTCTTATGCATTTTTATTCCCCCCCCCCTCCTGAAAACGTAGCAGCCTCAAAAAAAAAAAAAGCAAAAAAAAAACGTGGCGGCCGTGAGATATCATCACCGACCTGGCCAGCGGCAGGTTCATTTCAAGTTTTCGTCGTCTGTTCATATGGCTGCATCTGGTCTGGATTCGAACCATGGGTCTGACCAGATACATCCGTATTTCAACACTCCATGGGTGTACCGACTGAGCTACGCCCGCTGGGCTTCTTACGAGTTTTTCCTTTTTCCTTTCTCCTTTTTTTTTTTTCTTTTTTTTTTTGCGCAGGGGCCATGCTAATCTTCTCTGTATCGTTCCAATTTGAACGGATGTCCCGAAGGACTTTTTTTCTTGTTTTTGTTCTGGCTTCTCTCGGGTGTCATCTGTGTTTTTCCTTCTCGCGCCTAACCTCCCCCCCCCCCCCCCCCCTCTCTCTCTCAAAACCCTGTCCCCTGTCCCTTCCCGTAAAAAGAACCTGGCGCCTCTTCACTACTTGGAACCCCTTTGTTTTTTTGTTCTGTGAGCCTGTAACTGCTGTGCATATCCGTCCAAGTGCATTATCAGACGAGAGTTCGTTTTTGTTGTCTTTGCCTTGCCTTTTTCAGCTCGTCTTGTGTGCTGTAACTGCTGTGATTATGTTATTCTCTTTATTTTGGTTCCTTGCTTCTGTTTGCTCCTCTTTGCCCTTTGTCCCCCAACTTCTTTCCTTTCCCCTGAACCCCTTTTAGCCTTCTCCCAGGTTCTCTCTCTCTCTCTCTCTCTCTCTCTCTCTCTCTCTCTCTCTCTCTCTCTCTCTTTTGCCACACAGGTGATAGGGCCTCTCTCTACTATACAACTCTAGCTGCATTTGGACGCCTTCCGGGCCAGATACATGCGAAATGTTGGACTCGTCCGAATGCACCTGGTCCAGAGAGCGTCCAAATGCATGCAGAGTGTTGTGTAGTGGAGCGAGGCCCATGCAGCCTGCTGTGCTTCACCTCTCCTTAACAAATACATGTCACATCCGTTTAATTCTTGTGGGAATATAATGTACTTTCTAATCTTAAAATTTTCCATTTTTTCATGCACCCAAGGTGCGTTATCAGACCAGATACATTCGGAGTCAAAATTGCAACTGTCACTGACTGCGGCGGTTGGGACTCGCGTTGAGTTTCGGAAATTTTGTCCCGTTTTTCAGTCCACGAGCTGGTTGTCGCAAAAGGCACCGTGACGGAGAACGTTTTTTTCAGTCCACGAGTTGGTTTGACTAATGTTCCACCCCTTGACTGGTGGTCCAACCTTGTGAATATATGTTGACCTACAAATTATAATACCAAGAAAAAAAAAAGGGTCCATATGTGATTAAGGGCATTTCCTGGAGAATGCAGTCTAAACACGCAGAAGAGAGAGAGAGAGAGACAGAGAGAGAGAGAGAGGGAGAGCATAATCATCTGCTAACGAGCGCAGGTAAATTCTTCTTTTTGTTGTGTTCTATTTTTCTTTCTTTTTGTTCTTTTTTCTTCTTTTCTTTTTCTTTTGTTGTTTTTCTTTTTTGGGTTGAGGTATTATGGTGGTGCTAAAGAGCGCAGGTAAATTCTATCTGACAGGGGTTGCCTTTTCAGCCAGGTCGGCCTTTATTGTAGCCTAGCCTAGGGGAATGCCAGTAATTGGGGGGGGGGGGGGGGGCTAATGGCAGTAACCTTTTAGGGTGCAACGACAAGTGGTCAGCCTGTAACCCTAGGACTGAGGATATCTTCAGTAGTTGCGCCTCCCCTCACTACGGACATTAGCAGTACCTGTTTTATGCCGCTCGGGGTGGTCAAGGACTCGACGGGTTATCTATAGATGGTGTGTGCCAAGTGCGCCCAGCAGCCCAGGTAAGGTTATATGAGACCAACGGGAATTGAACCCAGGACGTCCCGAATGCCACTTGTCTTCCTTAGAATCCTTACTAACTGATCTGGGGCGCTCTTTGGTGTTTTCTTTTTATTAATTTATTTGAACAATTCTGCACTATTTCTCAATTTTATGCGTGTCATCCTCGATTCCTTGCACAGTGGCCATCCTAATCTTTCCTGTACCGTTCCAATTGACAATGTCACGGATGTTCCGAAGGACTGCATTTCTCTCTTTTTCTCTACCACCAGTACTTGGACCAGCTATCGGCCGCGGAAAAAAAATAGAGTAGAAACGTTTCTAGTCGGATGAATTTGGGCGCTCCTGTAGTGGCGCTTACGTTTCCTAAAACCGTGGGCTTGTTAACGTGTACGACTTTAGGAAGTACGACCGGTGGGGTTAAAGGGCGACCGCCTTGAGACATCATTGTTGATCTTACCGGCCCGAGGTAATTCAGAAACATCTTATTGTAGACTTGTTCATCTGATTGTGTCTGGATTCAAATGTGGCTCTGTAGTTCAACAGTTAATGGGTGTAGTACCATCGATGAGGTCTTGCCCTTCTGCCTTCGGGGTGGTACGAGCCGCCAGGGCCCGGAGTAGAATGTGACATGGTTCCGGTGGCGTCATTGAAGTTCATTCTATTTGTGGGGCCCTGCACCTCCTGGAAAATGGGTCCAGCATAAGGACTTCTTTTCGAGTTGTCCCTTCTGGGAGTATTCTTGTTCTCCGCTTTTGGTTTTCCTTCCTCCAGGGCCTCTACTTTTTTGTTTTACTTACCTGTGAGGCTGTGAGTTAGCGTGCAAGTAAGGTATGTATGGTTTGTGGGAGAGTGGTGGCCTTAGACACTCCTGTTACTCGATGGGGGTGGGGGAAGGCGCAGGTACCAGCGAATGCTTGGTCCTTGTGTTCGCCGTTCTCCCACTGGTGGCCCCAACCCTGCACCCTAAACCCACTAGGGCAAAGGGGCAAAAATGTACCTCCCTCCACCGAGAGGGGTAACCTTCTCTCACCAAGATAGGTAGATAGCTATGCTTGCATGGCCCCAGCAGGGGTCCCCTCGATATAGTGTAGGAGTAGAGGTAGATAGATAGTGAAAGATGAAAGAATTTGAGGGATGAATATAGTCTAATAGTTAAAATAAAAGAAAAAGAGCTGAGGCCTGGGGTGAAGCCCCACGTAGCCGTATCCTTCATTGCTGACCGTAGATTGCCGACATCGAAGGTCAAAAAGGAAGAATTTGCGCAAGTGGGACTTGGCTACTGGAGCAGTGCCAGAGTCGTAGAAGAGCCCCGGGCCGAGTATTAGTGAGAGAGCATAGGGTCTCGCTCTGCTACACAACATTTGAAATGTACATGGTCGTGTATTTGGTCCAGAGACATTCGGGGTGTTTGTTGAATCCTGAATGTATCTGGATCACGAGAGGACCAAATACACTCGAACATTGTGAAGTGGAGTGAGACCCATACTCCTGCTTGAACCTTCTCCTCCTCTTCTTCCTCCCTCCTCTTGGAGTCCTCAGTCTTGGACTTCCTACACCTTGTTGACGTCATCTGCATAATACAGGGTCAAAATGCAGAGCTCTCGTTGACTCAGAGTGGGACTTCCAAGTTTCCCTATTTAGAAAAAAAAAAAAAAACTTTCCCTATTGTGCATGCGTGCAGATGGCCTAGGATTTTTTATTCATTGATTTATTTTGTCAACCCCGTGGCCACCTGCTGTAGCAGGTATCGCACGTGCTGGTGGATGCATCTCCCACATGTTCCCTCGTTGGAGGCTTGAGCACGGATGTGGCTGCTACGGGGTTCCCCGTAATGCTATAATGACAATAAAAAAGCCCTGAAAGGCCGTCCTGTCCAGATTCGACAGGTAATTGGATTGGTTGGGCTTAAAAGAATTAGCCTTCAAAAAAAAATAAAAAAATACTGGCATAGTCCCTCGTTGGAGGCTTGAGCATAGTCTTCAATAAAAAAAAATACTGGAAAAAAAAGGAGTGACTGCGTCCACACTCTCTCTCAGAGTCTCTCTCTCTCTCTCTCTACTGCAACTCCACATGTCAGCCTCTAAGGAGAGGGAACCAAAAT